TTGTGGAATACTCTCCCGGTACGTCTACGACATGCTGAAACATTAAATTCGTTCAAACGCCTCATTAAGGAGCATTTTTTAAATATTGGTCAACCAATTTAATATGTGATAAGGTAGATTTCTGAAATTGGTATCTACTTAAATTGTATATGTTTAAAAGGTATTTTAAGTATTTTTTATATGTAAATTGCTTATTCTTATTTATGTGTAAAGAAGCAAAATTAAATTATTTTTTTATTTTTAATAATAATTATTATATTATAATACTTTGTATTAATTGTATGTATGTATATTTACGGAGATATGTATGTGTATATGGATGTGTACATATATGTATATGTATTTCACTGGAATGGTACACCGCGCGTAGTTCGTTTCCAAATAATTTTTGCCACCTGATGGTTGTCTGGAAGAGATCGCTCTTAGCGATAAGACCACCAATTGTACTTTTTTGTTTTTAATGTATCGCACTATTTATTTGTTTTTTGGTGTATAATAAAGAATACTCTCTCTCTCTCTATGTAGTCTTGGCGAAATCTGTGATTAGAAGTATAATAAATAGCCTTTGATAATACAACCATAAGAATGTTCAAACTTATAATTTCAATTAATCATAGTCGACTAATTGTTGTTGCTAATTCTTCTAGAATCAAAACAAATCTCTCGGTTCTTTATCACGCGTATCTTTCTTACAAAAGAGCGTAAGTTCAAAACTAGACACTCAAGCAGGCTTTAATTGATGAAAGTTTGAAAACAATTAACGATTTTGTCCACTAATTCGAATTAAACGTTGAGAACTTAGAAGCTATGATTTTCCCGTGTGTTAATAGGTACCGGAATAAAATATTAGGCAAGACAATCTAGTATTTTATTCGGTTTTCGTCAGTGAAAATTAAACATAATTATCTTATACCTTTAAACGAGCAATTCTTGTATGAATTTGTCTGAATCTCAGAAACGGCTGCAACGATTTTTATAAAATTTAGTATACGGGAGATTTCGGGGGCGATAAATCGATCTAGCTACGATTTATTTTCAGAAAATGTTGTTTTATTCGTATTTTCAATAATCAACTTTATGACTCTTCCCAACATCTATTGGCGAATAATAATACTATTTTCTGCTTTAAAGACACAAAAAGAGGGCGTTATAAAAAAAAAAACGAGCAAAGCTTGGTCATCATCTAGTTAATATTTAGCTTTAAGGTTTAATGTTGCCTATTTTTATTTTCTCTAACGTTTCGAATATTTTATTTTTTGTGGTCACGTGGATGACTAATATAATATCCGTCGATATTTGAATATTGTGCAAATTACCGTTTATTTTAATTCTGTTAAAAAAAAAGTCTGACGATTAGTACTGTCCCTATTGCGATGGGTGCACGGAACTATGTCTCTGACAGACAGTACTGCCCTATGTGACCGCGTGTGTACATTGCCATTCGCCGTCTACAGATTTGTCCTTGATTTAGTTATCATTCACGATTGTAATTTAATTAGTTCAGTCTCTATTTTTATAGTTTACTAGCTGACCCGGCAAACGTTGTTTTGCCATATATAAGATTTTTAGGGAATTTCTAGTGCAGAAAAAAATAAAAAACAAAACCTCATTCAACCACATACTTAATGCCTTTTTATAACAAAAAAAAAATTGTCCAAAAAATAAAAAATAAATGCTAGGGGTGGACAGCCCTTATCACTTAGGGGTATGAAAAATAGATAGTAACCGATTCTCAGACCTACTGAACATGCATATAAAATTTCATATAAATCGGTCAAACCGTTTCAGAGAAGTATGGTAACTAACATTGTGACACGAGAATTTTATATATAAATTACTGGTAGTAAATTAGTGGTAATAAATTCCTGTATCCTATACTTCGGTTTCATTCCTGAGTCCTAACCACATAGAACGTCGGTCATTCATACATTTGCATTTTTTTCATTTAATCAGACGTCAATGTTACTATAAATGAACTGTGCATATTGATTGAAGTTTGTCACAATTTTGTGTCGTCTTTAAATACAAACGCTTATTTGGTTTAAACGTTAATAAATAAACGAATGAAATTTCTATATTAAAATTTTATACGAAGTTTACGTTCGCAAACACGTTTCGACTACGTAATGAAGCCGAAAAAGCAACGCGAACGAATGTAACAATGCCGCGCGCATTAACTATGCAACGTACAGAGACGGAATTGGAAAACGATAAATATAAAGTACCGACTCACTTGTTTGTTGTGACTTTTATATATTTTTTAAGGGATTTTATGACCTGGTAACTGAGACCTTTAAGTCATGTCTTATTTTAACTTATATTCATATTTTTATGAAAAATTATATTATGGAGTGAACTGAAATGAAGATGATTAATTTGAGACATTAATCAACTGGGATGAAATTAAATGAGGTGATACGGGATGAAATATAATCTCAGTAAAATGGTGGTCATTTGCTAAGATTTTTTCAGTGGACTTTTTGGAGGATCCCGAGAAGTTACGTCCAGCGGCTTTATTTCATTTTCCCACATTTGTGCACTTTCACATATATTAAACAGTTAATAAACCACCATTATTACACATTTTAACCCGAAGAAACACTAAATAGACAAAATAAAACAAATCACACAACTTCACTTCTCGCGTTCCCGCCAAAAAGTCACTTTTATATTTTTCTTTTATATTTATCTTTTGCAGACAGCACGGGCTTATGTTTTAGGGGTCGACGTACTATTTCTGTCATCGGTCATCTGTAAATGAAGCGGAATATTTTAAACAAATATGTGAAGTTAAAAACATGGATAATACACATAAACTATATTTTTTTCCCTACCTATGCCTTGAGAGGCTATTTCAGCTTCTTTTTGACGTGTGGCTAAGCTCACGGGGCTCAAACCGTAGTGTTGCTAACAATGGCCCTAGCAAGAGCAGTGTTTCGCAGAATCTAGCACCGAATCGGAAACGCGTGCCACTGAGAAGTTCCGGCGAGAAACTCAGTGGGCTGTGTCTGTGGGTTAATTCGCTCGTCGAGCCCTTCGTACCTAAAAGCATCGTTAATGGATCGGGATGATCCGTAATGAAACTTCATCTAGCAATCGCGAACGATAAGCTACACAAAAAACAATACAAACATAAATACAGAATACAAAAAAAAGGTGAATAGCTAGATCATGGAGCTCATTAGAAAGAAATACTTTGCATAAATATAAGGGGGTCAATACAATTTAATTTGGTCCTAATTCCGTTACTAGCAAGGGCCGGCGTGTTAGAATGTAGGAGTGTTGAATTATGCAGGCTACATGAGAATGAGCATTTTACGTGTAAATCCCGCCATGTCCCTTCTCCTACCTATTATGGGTTTCCTATACCTACCTAGTATCCCGTTATTAATGGATAAATGATGGAATTATTATGATATAAAACATCATATAAAATTTGATTAAGTTAATTGTGACTATTTTGATAATTTCTTCTAAGTCTTTCTTAAGATGGTTAATTTTTAATTTCATTTCGTTGAGGTGGAAAAAATGCTTGTTCCTACAAAAAGAAAACATCGGTTTTAGTGAAACAGACACGTAACAAAAAAAATTAAATTTTTATGTCATACATATTTGAAGGATGTTTAAATCAATTATTAATAAATAATAGTTTAAAAACAAAAAAAAACACGCTTTTATAGAAAATCCAACTAAAAAATAGAAAATAAATGTTAATAAATTTGAATTAAAAATAGTGTAAGAAAAAATGATTTTATTGTAAAAAAAAGCGTGGGGTGCGAAAAGACTTTTTCTCGAACCTATTACGATAGCAATGGTATATTCTATCATGAACGATACAGTTTTAAAATAGCACCATATTAAATAACCTAGAAACATTTCTGAAGTATGCATATTGAAAACTCCTTTGATAGAAAAGTAAAAAAATATATATCGAATAATACAGAAAAAAGGTTTGATGAAAAATGAGGATCCACTTATGTTCAGTAGGCGACTTAAATCATTACATAATCGCGTCACACCTAAAGTAATAATACTTATCATGAAGGTCTTTAATTAAGTCTAGCTCTCTAATAAAGCTTTAAACTTTTTCGTTCGTGAAACACGACGCGGAGAAGCTTTCAAAAAGAAATAAAGTTTGTTCGGTTGAAACAAATTTCGTATCCCAAGTTTCGTCTCTAAACTTACGGGCTCGTACAAGTTTGATGCGAGATTGTATTGTTTTAGAGTTTTCATTTTATTTTGTATATCTTGAGGAGGAACATAACAATTTTTATTTTTCTTAGAAAAACTGATAAAAAGTCCCTTAATTTTAAGTTCCCTGAAGCATGAATATCTATGGAATAACATTATTTTTTTAAAGATTTGAGGTTTTTTTTATGGAATACGTTGGCATACGTGGCAAAGTCACAGAAATAAGGTTATTTCTTTATAGGATAAATTAGAGCGATCTGATTCTAAGCGGTTACCGGAGTCCATTAATATTTAATGTGAGATAGAAAATTGCAGCGCATTCTGAAATCGGCTTTACCGTCCTACGCGACAGTCATTGGTAAGATGGTGATAAAACAACGACACCTTGATAGGCCGTGCGTAAATAAATTGGGCTAATGAAAAAAAAAGTGTATTTTTTTATTGCCCTAGTAGGCAGACGAGCATCCAACCCACCTGATGGTAAGTGGTGACCGTCGCTCATGGACGTCAGCAATGCCAGGAGCAGAGCCAAGTCGCTGCCTACCGCTAAAAGTGTTTTTTATTTACTTATTTTTTATTGCTTAGTTGTGCGGACGAGCTCACAGCCGACCTGGTTTTAAGTGGTTACTGGAGCCCATAGACATCTATAACGTAAATGTGCCACCCAGCTTGAGATATAAGTTTCAAACCGAAATGCATTACTGCTTCACGGCAGAAATAGGAGGGGTGGTGGTACCTACCCGTGCGGACTCACAAGAGGTCCTACCCCCAGTAAGTGTATTTTAAAACAAATTCACGTGTCGTTACAGAGATCGTGGAGGAGCAGCAATGTCAAGATTTTGGCTTCCGGCTGACGTGCCGCGAGCTAGACTCCCACATCGCCATCCTCGAGGCCTACTACACCGCCATGGAAGACTACGGCTGGCCCAACACGACCCGGGAGAGACTCGTTATCAGAACCGAAAACGACTCCGAGCTGGACCAAGTGCACGTGTACATTAGCCCACAGCACAACGGAGTGTACGAGCAGACGAACATTACAAGACCTCACAGGCTCGCGAATGCTACCCTCGAATTTAACGATACGTCTCTCTGGAACGATAGTCTGTTGTTATTTAATGACACCGTCGACGTATCTGACGAGTTCGTGAACGATAGTGATCATTGCGATGCGGTTTCGTTCCGTCGGAGCTACGCCAGTTGGCGTGAAGGCGACAAACTGCGACGCGCGTCGTTCAGAAACGCATCCGTGAATCTCAGATCGCCGTTTAGTTACAGGTGAGTACTTCTAAAGCTATTTCTTTTTGACGTGACAAAGTCTTATAATTCGATGGAGCCGGCTGCACGCACGAAAAAACATGACTCATTGAGGCGTTCCATTCAAGGCTTGAAGTGCAAGCGAGAGCGCGCAACGAGCGACAAAGAGGCACAATCGGCCTCCGAGTTCGGCAGCGTTCGACATCTGTCTCTCTCTTACTTGAGTGAGCGATGCATCCGCGTGGACAGCTGCTATACAATAATATATTTACATGTTTTCGTCAAGTATGAAGTTCAGTGAAAAGTGAATGTGGTGTCAATTGTCCATACAAAATATCTATCAAACAAATAAAATTAAAATTTTATTTTGAAAAATGAAACCATTCCATCAGAATTTTCTTATGACGTTGTCACGTTCAACTATCGTCCGTAAACCGACTTTACAGACAACCAATTTTTTTTTTCCTACCTAAGCTGAGAGCCTTGAGAGGCTATTTCAGCGTAACCTTAACTAGTAGGTGAGCTCACGGGGCTCCAACCTGACGACGTTGCTAACACGAACCCTAGCAAGAGCCGTGCTTCACAGAATCTATCACCGGACCGCTAACGCGACCCACTGAGATGAACCGGCGAGAAACTCAGTGGGCTGTGTCTGAGGGTTAATTTACTCGTCGAGCCCTTTCGTTGCAAGCGACGGGTTCGACGAGAACGATGACCGTTGCTTGAGGTACCTAAAAGCACCGCTAGTGAATCGGGAGGATCCGAATTGACGTGTTTGGGGCGACGTCGACTGCTTTCCGTTCTGTCCGCAGGATCGGGAATGTACTTACCGGCGGCCACGATGAGAGGGTTCTCGTGTCGTGCCGCTTTATCGAAGTGGAACTATTTCAGGAGTCGCTTCGGACATCGGAACATAGAGTATGGTTCAGAAAAAAAACTGTGTCATCCACGAATATAGACTATGGATTATGGCACGGATTGTTAACAAATGTTTATGGCGTGTTTAAGTGTTTTCGATGTAAATCAAGAAGGCGTTCGTCGCTTCTATCCTCCTGTTACGGCATACACGAAATAGCTGAGACGTTTTACGTTTCAGATCTATTTTTGAGTTAAAAAATAAATAACAAATAAAACTGAAGCTTAGATGTTCAGTTTAGATGAACTCATTTTCTGAATCGACCAACTATTCGCGAAAGTTTTATTAAAACTTTGCTATGTGATTTGTACATTTCGTTGCTTCGTTGAGTACCTATATAAAAAAAAACTAGGACCACTCAAAATGTATTTTTTTATTTTTGGAAAAAGTGTTCAACCCACAGTCTTAATTTAAGTCTTCCGATTCGCCGTTTTTAATACGCTTTTTTACATTTAAGATGTTAAGTAAAGTCCAAAGTTGAAGAACACACGCTCTTGATAGGTCTTTAAATATGACATAGACTTTCCTGCTGATATATACACTTTCCTCCTGAGCAAAAAAAACGTCCACATTCATTGTTAGCGATGGTCGGCTCAACTGGGTTCCTATAAGATTCCCTCCGCATGAACGCTAGAGTACACATCAAAACTTTAATAAACTAAGTCGATATCAGAGTCAATATAGTCTGGATACAGCCTGTCCGCGTCGAAGGAAATGAGACGGCTGATGAATTCACAAAAATGAGCTCTAATGAAACAGAGTTAAGAGCTGAATCACATTCATTATGAAATGGAGTAACGCCTCGGGCTTACGAGGCACTAAAGAGTTTCTCACTGCAGGATAACCTGAACTTGATTGCCAACGCAACCTGCTAATTCTGCACGAACCTGATTCAATCTATCGCGTATTAACACTGTGAAACTGAGAACTCATGTCTCAAGGTGGGTGGCGTCATTAACATTGTTATTGTCTGTGCCCTTTAGTAACCACTTAATACCAGTTGTGCCATGAGCTCGTCCATCTAATCAATAAAAAAAACTTTGTAAGCTTGATTGTCTAGTAGGGACAGGAATGAGCACCATGGAAAATGGTTATCCAGATAAAATGTCTATAGGCTCTTAGCTTCAAACGATATTAAAGTATTCGTGCGGGTGCAGTTTGGAGATGAGTAGTAGAAAGCAAGAGACATAATTATTTTTCCCGGCTCCCAATAACTTAAGATTCATCTCACATAGAACCATAAGAAAGAACAAGGTTAACTGCGTGTCTCAGAAGCCAACCGATTTTTCGACAATAAACTAACAACAACCTATCCATACAAAACGACAATTTTAACCTTTCCCACAGGAACGTATCATTAACGCGGTGCACACACGTGAGCTGATCGTCAATACATATCTCTAGGGACCCATCGGCATACGGTAGCAACAGAATGGTTTACTAAGCCCTTGATGTAAAAATAAAACAAATTTCTTCTTAGGGTTAATCTTGCGTGAATGTTATTATCGTGCAGAGTAATTTTAAATTTAATACAAAATACTTAAGTGTTTTTTTTGCGTCAGCGGGTGAACATTGCGCTGGTTATAGAGCGTCTTTTAGGCCCGTACGGGTAGGTACCACCACCATATATCTGCCATGAAGCAGTAGTGGGTTTCGATTTGAAGGGTTGGGCAACATCGTGCAAGTCATTTGTGAACATTGGTTAGGAACGTATTTCCTTAGGTAAAATTGTAGCTGTCTGCGGAATTTGAACTCCGGCACGGTCGCATCGCTTGATGCGAGTACGGCGGGCGTCTTATCCTTTAGGCCACGGTGACTTTAATTGTTTGATGGTCTCTTCCTTTTTACTAGAGTAAATAAACAGAGGAGCTGATGGCCAACAGGTGTTGATCGATTGCTGAAACCTATAGTAGCCCACTGATTTTCTCGCCGAAACTTCTCAGTGGATCGCGTTTGGTAGTAGATTGTGGTAGATTCTGCGAAGCACTGCTCTTGCTAGGGCCAGTGTTAGCAACAAACCCGGTTTGAGCCCCGTGAGCTCACCTACACGTCAAAGAGAAACTGATATAGCCTCTCAAGGCTATTGGCATAGGTACGAAAAAAATGATACCTATAGTTATAGCCTATAGTTAAGATATTAATTTTTCTACAAGTCTCAACAAAATTATATTTATTAAAAATGTTTGAATCTAAATAGGGAATTTCCAGATTAATATCTGTATTATAATAAAAACTTACAACACCTATTAACATATGTCATTAAAAACAAAACGTAATAATTTAATTAACATCAAAGCTAGTTTCGTTTAAATGGTAAATAAAGGTAATTGCATTATTTATGTTTGGTTAGCACGCTATTTCGATAATAAATGGGCTCTTATGACACGTTTTAATTGGTGGGTAAATTTTTGACATCAATTTAAAAACTGCTCTTTTAATACTGCTAGTGGTCCCTTGTTAGTCGAAATTCGACTATAATTAATTGAAATTATAAGTTTTACCATTATTATAATTCTATTGTCAAACACTATTAATACAACACGCTATTAATCACAGATTTCGCCAAGACTACACTAAACACAAATATTAATAAAGTCAAAACAATGTTAAATCTTTTTTTTAAGTGGTTTTATGACCTGGTAACTAAGACCTTTAAGTCATGTCTTATTTTAATTCATATTCTTATTTTTATGAATAATGTATGGAGTGAAATGAAATGAAATGAAATGAAGATGATTAATTTGAGACATTAATCAACTGGGATGAAATTAAATGAAATGAGATGAGATGATATGGGATGACATATAATCTCAGTAAAATGATGGTCGTTTACTGAGATTTTTTCAGTGGACTTTTTGGAGGATCCCGAAAAGTTACGTCCAGCGGGTTTGTTTTATTTTGCCACATTTGTGCACTTTCACAGCTATAGAACGGTTAATAAACCACCATTATTACACATTTAAACCTGAAGAAACATTAAATAGACAAAATAAAACAAATCACACGACTTCACTCCTCGTGTTCCCGCCAAAAGTCATATTCATATTCAAAGTCATATTCAATCTATTCTCAATTTGATCACAGACGATAAGCAATATGAAAAGTTTGACCAATAAACAAATAGTATGCATGTGTGTGTGTGTGTAAGTCAAATACATGGTAGTGTGTGTAATGTTTTTTTATTGATTTAATGTATTTTAAAAAGCATAATTTAAAAAAATATTAACATCTTGCACTCCTTCTCTACATTCTCTATAAGTGTAAGAAATTTCATACTCTTCCATCCGCGCAATTTTCGTAAAAAGGGATACAAAGTTTTTGCTTCACGTATTAATATATAGATACGATGTTTTTAAAAATGACGTACATACATATTTAACATAATAGTGAGGCGCCGGCTGCATTGCTTCTCTGATTTGGGCCATAGTTTAGGGATATTGTTAAAAATAGTGGTCATTTTTGTCACGTTTTGCCATGACCTAGTGTTCCGAAACAAAAGGAACTCAGGGACAAACAAAACGATTGCAATGTCAAAGGAGTCCAGTAAAAATATAAGGAATTATTCGTTTTTATCCAACAAATAGCTTTTGGGAAATAGCGATTTGTTGTTAAAAGTTTACAAATCTATATTAGCATTTATTTCAAAGAGTGAATACATTGTTACGTCGTAAATTATGTCGAGTGTGGCCTAAATAGTTTTTGGTGCGGTAGATTCTGCAAAGCACGGCTCTTGCTAGGGTTCGTGTTAGCAACGTCGTCAGGTTTGAGTCCCGTGAATTCAATTCCGGGAGAGTTCTATTTTTGAAACATCTGGATAGATATTTCAGCTTTTTATTTCAAAAATACGTGAAGTATTATAGTAAGTATAAGTACCTGTTGTTTTTTTGCATGGTATCAGTAGTTATAAATATTTTATGAACAGATATGAGTAGAAGGGTTATTTTGATAATATTATGAAAAGAAGCCCACGCTTTTTTACAATAAAATATTTTTTTCTTCACTATTTTTAATTCAAATTTATTAAAATTTATGTTCAATTTTTTAGTTGGATTTTCTATAAAAGCGTATTTTGTTAGTTTTTTTAAACTATTACTTATTCAAAAGG